ATAGGGAAGTGGGTGCCTTAAGCTTTCTAACCTTGACACCCGTGTGGGACCCACGGGAGCAGTGGTCTCAACATCACGGACTCTTACTTTCAGCAGTGAACCCTACGCTGCCATGTCTTATTCCCAGGTGTGCCCGTCCATTCTGGTTTTGTGGGTACTTGCCATCGTGTTGGTGGAGATGGCGCACAGGTGCGGATAACAACCAAAAGGTGAACAATCAAGGGGGGGGGCTTTTCCAAGCTCCAAGATATAGAGTAACCTGTGGGGGCAACTTTGCCAGAAAAGTCCTCGGCCCCCACCCCACCACCCCCTGCCCAACACAGATGAAAGTGACACTACCAAGACATGACATGCTTGGGGAGGAGAGGTGGCCGATCCCTCAAAGGGGAAGGGCCAAGAGCCCCTTCCTCAAGGGGCTTTTATTGGGTTAATTTGCACAAGAATACAGGTAAGGATCAAACAATAGACAGCATTCAGAGAACTATGAGGGCTTATTCTCAGTCAGGGTCAGATAGCTAAAGAGCCATAAAACTTTGAGGAACACACTTCTTGCTTGGACCCTTATCATTTAAATGAGAGCATTCTAAACAAAGCAGGTTTCACAGGACTTTTACATATTCTTTCTTATGCCCGATTTACCCTGGATACCACTCTAGCAAGGCAAGGAGCTGCATCACCTCCCCATCATAGGTTTTTAGGCTTAAGGGGATTAGAGCCAGGAAGCACTTCTCCCAGACAGAAATGGGGACTCAGGCTCTGTCACAATAGCCGGGGGTGGGGGTGGGGGCAATGAGGATCCATCGCTCCCTCTTTGTCACAGCCCCCCCAGTCCTTCTATGATGGCTTCCCAAGTGATCGTGTCTGGTCTAGGTTGCCCCTCTCTGAGGGGTCGTACCCACCATGGACATCGACAATGCTTTGGGGGCAAGGGAAGAAGCAGAAGCAGCGCTTGCTGCCAGAGACAAGCCCTGTCTCCTGTGGCCCGTATTCCGGAGGTCGCTCACTTAGCCATGGGAGGCAGTTACAGTTCCTGAAACCAGGCAACCTATAACCTATAACCAACGGTAACCTATAGTCCAATAGTAGCCTATGGTGACAGTAGAGGTCACCAGTATTTTCAGCCACCACCAGGAGACTCGGCAAGTCTCCTTTATATTTTCTCTGAGGAATGGAAAAGAACAGAGACCCTCAGGGTGGCAATAATTACACTGGAAAATACTTGCAGTAGCACCTAACAGGGATTTGTAAGAATTCAGTAAAGTAAGGAAATTAATTCAGTACGTATTACAAGGCATATATAAGAAACGATACGGTGTCTGCCCTCAGGGGCTTTCAATCCAACGAAACACAACGTAAACAGTTACTTATAAGTGTGGTGGGTAGCACAATGGGGAAGTACAAGACACTGAGATCGTGTAACAACATACACAAACTTCAGGTGTGGATCTGATTAAATGAGAGTGTATAAAGTGTTTAGTGTGGTTCCTGGTGTTCATGCTCAGTAAATTGCAGCAGTTATTTTTGTTATACTTCTGTACTGAAAAACACGCTTCAAGGGGACAATACCTTTGGACATGTGAACTGGGAAGGAAAGTCTGTGATCCACATGCCATTCATTCATTCATGCATATACTTCTTTTTAGCTTATATGTGTAAGGTGCTGTTCTCACTGAGTTACAAAAATGAATGAGACCCTATCCTCAAGGGGCTCAAATTTTAATAAGGAAGAAGTATATAGCAGATAATTGCAAATGGTACAATAAGTTAAATGATATGCAGCCCAAAGACCAGCAAGTTCAGTTCTGCCCTGCAGGGTCCAAGGAGCCTCCAGAAAATAAGGGACGGGAACAGAGTCAGAAGGGCAGTGGCTGTTCTCCAGCGCCCCTTGTTTCATTACTGTTTGTTCCCTGAGTGTGGAGAGCTTGACAAGGTGACTGTTATTTTTGTGCTACTGTTTCCATATTTGATCTCTCAGTTCAGTCACCCAAGGCATTGCCAAAAACAAACAAAAAGGCTGGAAAGAGTTTATTGCCAAGCTAAAGCCACAGAAGTTTTGGTTATGAGATGCAGACCAGGCCCATCTCTTAACACTAAAAGGATCTGTTTCCATAAGGCACAACTCAAAAACTAAACCGTGATGTGATCAAAATTTCAAAGAGTACTGCGGTCATCTGTGTATCCGAGAAGGTGAGCTGTTTCTGCCTCCTGACCCCTGGACAGCCAGCCACCAGTGCTTGAGCCGACCAGGCTGGCCTCACAGAGTGCATCATCCAAGCTGCATCCCGGGTGGGACCCTGTCCTCTCCTGGTTCTGACCGCCAGGGACAGAGCCTCAGCACCATGGGGGCAGAGTTGGTCTAAATTTTCTCACAGCAGGCGGAAGGAGAAAAGAATAATAATTGGAGGAAAGTTCCTGAGGCCTTCCTGGAGAAGGAAGGCAACGGTTTTGTTCCTTTAAGCCTGTCTGTGACTGAGAGACAGAGGCCGGCTCCACTCTCTGGCCTTTTTTCTGCCAGGAACTTGGGCCAAGAAGCAGAGCCCAGATCAGGGAGTTGACTGATGGCCCAGAGAAGCACAGAGCCATCGGGTGCCTTCACGTGGGCGCCTGCCTGGTCTCCTCGTGGGAAGAACAGAATCACTGGTTCTGCCAGCCCCAGGCCCTTGAGACTTCCCATGTCTCTGGCCCTGAGGGTCACCCCATGCAGAAGAGGGCAAAATTAGTCCTGCTGATTCGAGCTGGTTCTGCAGTCAACTGGAGATGAATCAAACTGGTCCCTTTTTTTAACTCAAGTCCAAAAAAGCAAGCAAACAAACACAGCTCTAGCAAAATAGGAAAAAGAGAGTTTGTTCCTACAGGGAAGAAGGATGTGGAGGATAGCTACTCCTGACTGCTCCTCTCTTGGCCCCAATAACTTTGACAATCTGCCCAAGTCCTCTCCCACCCTGGGATCTTTACATTCAGAGAAAAGGCCCATTCACCAGGGAAAGGAGGCTGAAAGGGCCACATTTCATTTGTTTGCTTTCTTCCAAGCTCCAGAATATTCAAGCGTGTGACCCAACTGTGTAACGCAAGTTTCATAAACCAATAAATCTGATTTCCCATTTGCCCACAGTGCAGCCCAGAGAAAGGAGACTCCAGAAAGAATCTACTATAGAAAAGCCCTTTCTGCAAAGGGACTCAGATGCCCAGGAGCTGCCATGTCTCTACCCGAAGATGAAAAGCCAGAAGCAGGAAAAGTCGAGAAGGAGGAGGCAGTGAGGGGTAAACGATCAAGGCAGCTTCCAGGACAGTAAGGAATATTCCCCCTTAACAGTTTGATCCCTCCTTTGGCTCCATGGCTCCCCCAAGGAGTGAAGGCTCAGTGATCAAAGTGCGGGCCCTCTCACTCTGGAAATTCCACACAGACCTGGGAAAGCCGGTGGATTCAGAAAGGATTTCCACCAAGATATTAACAGTGATTGTCCCCACGTAGCAGGAATTTATGGAGTTTTTATGTTTTTCTTGATCGTTTGAGCTTTTCTTCATAATAAACCTGAGCGCTGTTATAATCATGAAATAAAATACTCAAATCATCATGGTTTTCTCCTTCCAGAGACCTCAGTAAAATAAAAAAGGTAATAAACTCACAATAGTCAGGGTTTGGGGATGACAGTGAAGGTCAGATTCTAACCCATTTTCGGAAGATGTAAAGAAAACAAAAACCTATTGATCGATAATTAAATCAAGAAAGCCATCTCCCAGAATGTTGGGGAGGGGCTAAAAGGAGGGGCTTATTAGCAGGGAAGGAAATTCAAGTTGCCTGCAGATGAACTAGCCAGTTGGTGGCGCCCTACACTCTCCTGACCCATCCCTGAGTTTGGAGCTTTCCTAGCCAAACCCTGGGCAAAAATCAGAGCTCTCTTCTCTACAAAGGCTGACATTTTTTCCCCTGAGAATTAGGGCACCTAGACTCCTGTGTAACCACCCCCCAGCTTGAGATACTCGAGAGCTTCCTAGCCAGACCCCTCTTTCTGCTCACACCAAAGTGAGGCCCACCCTTCAACAAGCCACAGCAAATGGAGACATGGTGTCAGGACGTTAACAAAGAGTGATCAACGGAATCCGTTTGACCCAAGGGCACAGCCCGAGCTTCACGATGTTGGACCCGCAGTATAGTCCTAGCTCGGTGCCTGCCTCCATGTTTTATGGAAAGAATCGATTCATGTATTAATAACTTCATTTTATATTAACATAAAGCTTATTAGTTTCCAACTTGGAGAGTCAGCCTGATGGAACACAAAAGACGTCAATATGGTTGTAGAAAAAAACGTAATGTGATCAACCTTGACAGTATAAAAACAATTCCAGATGCCAGAAAATGAGAAGGAGATGGGGAGAAGGGTGGAGTACTCAGGTCTTAATCTAATTTAGTTGGGAATCAAGAAGTACTTTCTATGTAAATTGGCACAGCCATTATGGAAAATAGTATGGAGGCTCTTTGAAAATTACAAATATAGAAATACCATATGACCCAGTGACCCGGGAAGGAAGGAAGAAAGGGAAGGAGGGTGGAAGGGAAGGAGGGAAAGGAAGGGAGAGAGGGAGAGAATTCGATATCTAACTGCTGATGTTCTGTCAATATCAGCCAGCATAAAGTGTCAGATGGTAAACAATCAGTCTGATTGCTCATTTGAGTTTTCCATCTCCTTCTGAAAACAATCTGACTTTCTGACAGTCACTACTTTGGAGTTTGAGGCATGAGGTACAGCAGCCCGGAAGGACATTCAGGTCTTGGGCCCTGGACTGGCTCACTGTCTCCCCTGGTCATTGACTGTCAGCCTCTTCTTGCCCGTGCCTCCTACAGACTCACCCAGCTGGGACCAGGACTCTCCTTCCACACCAGTCCCTTCATCCCAGCCTCGTCTCTCCAACTTCTGGCCTCCAACCCAGTCAACCCAAGGCTGAGCCCTGGCTGCCGGGCCCAGGGAGCATAGAGAAAAAAGCACCCTTGTTAAGCCTGGACTGCTCGGGAGATGGATGACCTGAGACAACTCACTCGCAAGGAAGGCTCTGCACTTCCTAGAATCATGCAGTGTACAGTGGATACAAGAGCCTTGGGGCCGAACCAAGCTACTAAAGCCTAGATTTGCTGCTAGTTTGTCACATTGGCCAGAACACTTTTCTTCTCTGAGCCTCCTTTTCTTATCTGTAATGTAAGGATAATGCCATCTCCCACAAGCATGGTTTGACGAGAAAGATTAAATGAGACCTTGCATATAGACAGCATACCATACTTCTGAGTAGGTGCATAAGTTTCAACACCTTCCCACCTCCATTTTTCTATCCTCCTTCCCTTTACATTATATAAAAGTGAGTACAAAGTGCACAACAATGAAATGCTTAGCACATGATCACATGTATGATTAATTAATGCTAGGACTGATAATAATTTTACTGTTTTGCTATGAGTCTCTATCATAATCTGTGGCACACATTCACTTGGGAAAAAGTCCCTCTTCTGGGCAATTTGTCTTGAAGGTGGAGGAGGCATCGGGGACCACAAGAATACATTAGGACTTAGGGTTGTAACATTTTTTTTTAGAGAGAGAGAGAGGGGAAGGGAAGGAGAAAGAGTAGGAGAGAAATATCAATGTGTGGTTGCCTCTCAGGTGTCCCCTACTGGGAACTGGCCTACAACCCAGGCATGTGCCCTGACTGGGAATCAAACCAGTGACCCTTTACTTCACAGGCCCATGCTCAATCCACTGAGCTACACCAGCCAGGGAGGGTCATAACATTCTTAAATGTTAAAATTAGTAGGACCTTTGAGGTTAATCAGCTGTCGTTTGTGGAGGAGGAACTGAAGATCCAGACAAGTTAAGTTGCCAGGTTCAATGGCACATACCAGATCAACCCAATTTCCATTCCCTGCTCTTTTGAAATGAAAGATATTCTGAGAAGGTTGCTGCGTCAAAAGAATATATTGTGCAATAAAACAGGGTTATAACTATGAACCGTTTAAAAAACAAGGTCATAACTGTGTATGATGAGAAGTACTTAAACTAAAACGGATGCATTTTTAAAGGGTTTTTTTTTAATGTGCAAACATTAAATGACACTACAGTTAAATGCCACTCTGCATTAAGGGAAAATTCTGCCTGGGCATCAAAACTATTTGTAGATGGTGAGTTTTTAAAACAGTATCCACTGAATGCAACAGGCTTGATCTATTCCAGCCAGAAACAACCAGAAGTCTTGTTACTTAGTGTTTTACAAACAGGGCTAAAAATGTGCCGCATAATTTATGTAAGAAATGTAGATAATTTCTAGTGTTTTCTTGTATCTGATGAGTTAGTACACATAGTAAATGTACTAACTAGCACATCCATATTTTTATGGAGTTTCTTAGGATTGAGGAACTAGAAGACGATTGGGATAGGATACGATACAACAGACATGATATCAGGAAGTTATTTTGGAAGCCAGAGAGTCTTGAGAGTTCGAGCGTTGGCCAACATTAGCATGGTTCCAGGCTATGATCTATGGTCTAGTTGGTGTTAATGTCACACTTATTAGGAAACTTAGCGAGAAATCATTTGTAAGGGCCTAGAATTTATGCCTGTTTGTTTAATTATTCACCAGCAATTGGTTAGTAGTGAAAGGTTAGGAGTGGGAAATCTCAGGGATGTAGTGAGGAACACTGGCACTGGGTATGCTTCTGTGGCTTGAACTGCCGACAGTGACCCTCCTGAAGCACAGGTACCAGGTTCTGCTGTAGTTCATGGACTTTGGATGAATCAGTTTAGGTGCTTTTGAGTTGGTGAAAGAAATTGACTTATTTATGTGAGCCAAGGGAAAATCTCCATGACAACTCACAAAAAAAATCAACTTGGAATCTTCCTTTTCGAGAGTGTCCATGAGTTAGGTATCTATACATTGTAGTTTTAAAATGTAAGATTCAATTCACTCATTTATAAAAAAAAATACCTCTAAGATATTCATTTTGTAGGGGATAGTCTGGTTCTCTTGACTACACTGGAATGAGTTTTGCAGTAATGAAAGTGAGAGTATGAACTTCAATCCCAAAATTGTAGGTGTGAAGACTGGATTCCAAAAAGTGTATTTTAAACTTAATGAAAATGAAGTAACACTATTGAGTTTGCTTAATCTTAAAGAATAAAGGAAGCACTATTAATGGATATTATTAAGTTGTAGGACAAAACAGTACTGAAAACTAGATAAATGTGACAATATTGAAGGAACAGCATTCTAATGGTGCAAATATTCTGTTCCTGTTCAGAACACAAAATGAAAGACATGGACCTTTGGTACAGAAGAAAAGACGTCGGGTTTCCAGGTTCGTATTGAAGATGAATTATAAAAAGGAAAAATTTGACTTATCATTAAATATGTTTTGCTCTTAATTTGCATTTCCATAAACATCAACTGTAAACGATATTATGCATATTTATACATTACCTGCTTTCATTAACGTTCAGTAAAAATAAAGCCCGTGGGCCGGATTTTCTTAATTCCAGGCTACTTTGCTCATTTCTGTCACCTGCCTGCTGGGTAGGGAGTCATCTTCCAGCCCCAAAGGGCCCCTGGAGCAGAGGGATTGCTGGTTTCTGCACAGCATGAGGCTGATGCTGCAGATGAAATGTCTGAGTTCAAGGGCAGAGCGCCACCTGGCCTGGGCAGCAATGCAGGCCTTGTCACCGCACAGGCCAGCATCTGCGGACTGCCCCACGTGAAGCCTTGTCTGTGACACTGTGTGGCACCGACATCCAGAGAGACTAGTTGGCCACTAAGAGTTTTCAGTTCCCCCTGCGCCGGCCTTGAAACCAGACTGAGCAACAGCACTAAGGACTGAGGTAGCCTGAGGTACAGGAATATTTTTGAGTCGGAAATGGGGGAGATATTTGTTTTCCTATTAATAGGACCAGTTGGGGCCTAGCGATTGATAGAAACAATAAAGGACAGATAAATGAATATTTTTGTTCTTAGTACCTAGAAGTACGTTAATCATAACCTTGCTTTATGACATCCTCATGATTGGCCCATGCATGGTCTTCTTTTAGTGTTTTGGTCAGTGCATTTATTTAATTATTCAGACCCAGGAATGTATTTGTCCTCCAAGTTCCATCATGGAGAACCCTGGGCGTCACAATGAACCCTCCTCATATGCGATCTCAGAGAAGGGAGTGAAGACAGGACAACCCGTGTTGATGGAGCATCTTCTCCTTGCCAGGCGCTATGCTGAACCCTTTGCAAACATTTCCTATTTAATTCCCCCAAAAGTGTTCCTGGCAAACAGAAGCAAGCCAGTGGTTCCTGGTCTTTCCTGCCCGCGGTTCATTCCCACTACTGTCAACTGGCTGGTCAGAAATAGAATCCCTGTGAGTGACAAGAACATTTCAGTGCAATATTTGCAGGTGGTTGGGTGATTTGATGTTGGGTGACTTTCAATTTTCACAGCTGAACTTTAAAATCTCATTAAATCAGCTTTTTGTTGCTATTTGCTGAGTTTAAATCGGCAGTGATTCAGCAAACAAGCAGACACAGCAGGTCGCCTCTCCTGGCAGGTATGAGAGACCCACAAAGGATACAACCGAGAACAAAAACTGTGGCCTCAGACTGAAAGCTCTGTGAGTCCCTTCCTAAGAAATACCTTCTGCAGATCCTAACTGATCTGTGTGAATGACTTTGATAGAAGGAGACTCTTCTCCCTCACGGTTGGCATTGTTTGCACTGGCAGAAGCGTTGGATGGGTGGATCACTGAGAGGTTTGAAAATGTCTGCTAGTGTCTGATGCAACCCCATGTCCTGAATAACATTAGATTAAAAAAGAAGAAAGTTCTGGACCAGAAAGTTTCTCTGAGATTTATAGCTGCTCCGAATCCCCTCACTGCCCCTTATCTAAGGTTCTAAAAGCCTCTCTTAGCCTCCGTCTGCAAGAATCATGAGGACAGATCTTGCAGTGGCTCCCTATTTATTGTCTGCTTCAGGCAAGGGACTGTGTTTGGCCTGCTGAGTCAGACAGAGCCCCTTGCTGAAGTGGCTCTCAGTCCAGTGATGAAGTCGGAAAGGGCTCTGGAAATTGTAATTCAAGGTCAAGAGAAAGAAAGGCCACAGGGAGTACGAGGCAGGAATAAGTCCTGAGAAAGGAGCTAAAGATCAACATGCTCTTTCTGGTGAGAGTTGCAGATTTGGAACTAGAAGGTGCAGCGGGACCTCTGTGACGGAGGAGAGGACAGGCAGCTGCTGGGTGGAGACGGTGACTTGCATGAGGATGCGCAGAGAAGACTTCCTGGGGCTGGAGCCACTGTGAAAAGGGGAAATAAGAGGAAAAAGATCAAAGCCAGATATAGGGAGAGCAAGACCTTACCCTGCAGTCCCCCCTCAGTGCTGTGGCCTCCCCCTGAACTTGACCCCTCACTTGTGTCTTCTTCCTGCTGCTCTCAAGTCTGACTGAGCAGGGACACAGTCTTGCCCCTGTTCTTCCTCCCCCCTCTCTGTTCTCCTCAGTAGCCAGGTCCCTGAGTAGATTACCAAAGGACTACATTACCAATTGACTAAATTGACTAAAGTCCGACCGATTCCTCTCTGAGGGGCCCACCTCTAGAAGTGAGCACTTGGAATTCTTAGCAGCGTCCCTGAAGGCGCCCCGGGCAGCCTCCCACCGTGTGTATCAAGACCCCTAATCATCCCTGACAGGCAGACAGGCCTCATCTTGGCAGCCCTCTCCCTCCCACCTGGAGGTCACTGGGACCAATCGCAGGCACGTCTTTAATTTCAGGTCTCTACGTAGGTAGCATTCTAGAGGATTAAGGTCCGAATAAAGGCACAAAGCCCCTCTTCAGCCCTGGGGCATCAGGGGGGTCCCAGTGTCGGTATGACCTTCCTGGGGTGCGGCCAGGAGAACAAGCCGCCACTCAGCCTGGCTGGCTGTTTACACGGGGACCCAGGCGCTCCGACCGGCTGCTGCCCGGGCCTGCGGCTGCGGACAGGCAGTGTGGGTGGATAATGTGGGCATTCATTTCCTGCAGCTGCTCCTCGCAGGGGCGCTTACCAGGGCAGAGGGAGTGAGCGGGATGGGTGTGCGGGAGGCAGAGGGCAGAGGCGGCGAGGGCGGCTGCACAGCTCCGCTGGAGATGTGGCAGCAGGGGGCCGTGCACTGTGGTGGCTTCACCCGCCTGAGTCTGTAAAGGGGCTGGTTAAACATTTCTAGCATTTGCAAAAACTCTTCCTCATGTTCTTCCCAATGAGCTGTCATCTAAGAAAGGGTGGACAGACCCAGAGCTCTCAAATCAGTTTGGATGCCATTCAACCTCTTTTTTTTTCTCCTCTGTGCAGATGAGCTGGGTCAGTCATTCTCTCCATCATTTGCTGATAAGAGTCCTGCACGGAGAACTGGACTTTGGTCCAGCCCCAGCCTGACAACTTTGTCCGTGATCTCGGAGCAGTTATGTAACTGTTCCCGGCTTCTGTGTTCCCCCCCCCCCCTTTAAAACAGACACCATGACACTGCCCTAACCTACTTCACAGGGTGGTATGAGGGTGAAGTAAGAAAAACCACCCCAAGTGGTGTTATGCAGGAGAGGTCAGCAGGCCCTCAAGGCCTGGGGTGGGCGAGCCTGTCTGCAGAGGGCCACAAAGTAGACATTTTAGGATTTGTGTATCACCCCAGGTCTCTGGTGCACGTTCTTCTGTGTGTGTGTGTGTGTGTGTGTGTGTGTGTGTGTGTTTTCAACTCTTCAATAATGAAAAAATTATTTCCAGCTCTTGGGTCAGACAAAAACAGGCCTTGGGCCAGACTTTGCTAACCTCTACTCGCAGGCAAGGGCTGGAAGTAGGCTCAGAGGCTGTGATAAATCTATATAAACACGAGTATTAGTGAGTAAATAATACGGGGGTAGTGTGTGAATATACATATCCACAGCATTTTCTGAAGTTACCTGAATCCCAGCTCATGGGCCATTTTGTTCAAGAGCTCGTAGAATACCTTGCCATCGACTGGCTCTTCACGGCCTGGCCAGAGAACATCCATGCTCACTCGGTCAGGAGTCTCAACCTGGGGGCCAGCCCCCAGCCTGTGTTTGGCCTAAGAGCTTCATTGGACCCTCATGATCATGAAACCCTGGACACACCGCCCTGCCTTCTTAGCCAGGGTAGCCTGGGCCACTGCGGGGAGAATGGAGAGAAAACCTTTATTTGGGGGCCACAACTGTCCACATAAGCAGCAATTACTGTTACTTACAACAGCACAGAAACAGTACTTTGTTGACGATGTGTTTTTAAGCTGTTCCTTGCTTTCTCTAGGTAAACCCCAAGGAGGTGAGCTGGCTTTATGACTGCCGTTTGTAAAGAGGGGGTTGTGTTGAAGAATATTTGCATGGCTCTCCAGACACTGAAGTCAACTTTCAAGACCGGGGCAATGGTGTCTGGTTCCCGCTGTCTGTGATGAGGAGCCAGGCCCCTGCTTCCCCTTGCGTGTCCGTGTCTCCTTCCCTTATCCTTGCTCCTTGTTTGAAGGTATGAGGAGACCTATAAATGGAAGGTGGATGAGAACGGCAGAGGGCAAAGAAGGTTTACTTCATTCTGTTTGCTTTCAAAATATTTCCAAAGAGAAATACATGGCGGATCAGTAACACTTACTCAGGCTAGAATAATGAAAGCACCCAAATTTCAGACATCCACATGCAAGAGGCCATGCTGACCAAATAATCGACCCACTGGGGTACAGGGAAAAAATAGTGGAACTCCTGCTCATATTCCTGTGTCAAAAATTAACAATCCATTTCACATGGATTGACAGCACATGTATTTAATTTATAAATAAATGCATACATTAAGAAAAAGGTATACATTAAAAATACTGCAGGCCACAATATTGCTTATTGTTATAAGCAAAAAGAAGTCATTAAAAATTTGGAATAGGATTATATCCTAAGAATCCTAAAACATCAATTTCAAAGAACCTGTGCACCACAATGTTCATAGCAGCACAATTTACAATAGCCAAGAGTTGGAAGCAACCTAGGTGCCTGTCAGTAAATGAATGGATCAAAAAATTGTGGTACATATACACAATGGAATTCTATGCAGCAGAGAGAAAGAAGGAGCTACTACCCTTTGCAACATCATGGATGGAACTGGAAAGCATTATGCTGAGTGAAATAGGCCAGGCATTGAAGGACAAATACCATATGATCTCACCTTTAACAGGAAGCTAAACAACAAAACAAACAAGCAAGCAGAATAAAAACAAAAGACACTGAAATAGAGAACAGGGGGATAGTGACCAGAGGGGAGAGGGGAGGGAATTTAAGGGGGAAAAGGGGAGGGATTTGGAGGAACAAGTATGAAGGACACAGGGACGAGAACTAAGGGGGGTGGAAATGGGAGGGAGGTGGGGAGCAAGGGGCGGGGGAGGCTGGGATGGGAGAAATGGACAGAAAACTGTACTTGAAAAATAAGTAAATGAAATTTAAAAAACTTGGAATAGAGAAAAAATCATGAAAAAAAGCAAGTGTGTAGGAAAATTGATCTTTTGGACTAGAGGGAGGGATGGCTGTCGATTGATACAGAAGCTTCATGTGGTCCACACACAAGAGATGAGAAACTAAATAAGTGAAAGGAAGACCCACTAAAGAATTACTATCATTATCTTCATTATTGCCATTACATCAGTGGACCAGGTGACATTTTGGCTGGTGGTAAGCAGAAAGAATCAGATCCCCACAAAATCCCCCAAAATGCAGTCATAACCTGGGAGCATAGGTAGACCTCAAAGGTGAAGATAGAATACTTTGCTCCAGGATCAGATTTTATGAGCAACACTTACATTTTTTTCCCCCCACTTGTTTGAGGAGACAGCAAATAAGGGCCACCCATCAGGTCTGTCCAATCCCAGATGAGACTTCTTAATAAAGACTATTTATAGCCACCGATAATTACAGCAACACTGTGCAATAACCGCTGTGTGGGGCAGGTAGGTGGGGGCAGGGGAGGGGTCTGGCCACCGCTGCCTGTGTGACCGTCTTCTGGCTGCTTCTTGTTGGCTTAGGAAAGAACAGAAGGTGGATTTGTTTGTCAATTGAGCAACCTGGCATTGCCCTGTCTTTACCTGACTCTCTTTAAACATTAACTATCTCTTAAAACATTCGTGTTCCATGCCCTGGGCCAAGGGAGGCCAAGAGAAAAAAGAGGAGAAAAGGAGAAGAGAAAGGAGGGAGGAGGAGGAAGGGTCCCCACATCAACAGTTCATTCATTCTACAAACGTTCATGAAGGGTCCGCGGGGACCCAGGCGCGGCCCAGGACCCCAGGTTTGAATGCTGAGGAGGACAAGCTTCCTCCCCATCCTTGCAGGTTCACAGTCTTGGAGACAGACCAGGAAACACCACACTGTTTCCTGGGAGGGATGGAAGAAGAGATCAGAGACCTGAAAGTTCCCAGGGTCTTTGTCCTCAGGGCAGTGGTTCCCAAAGTCCAATGAGAAAGAAGTGAACTGGAATAGTTCTTTAAAGTACAGTTTCTGGTTCAGCAAGACTCTTTCACTGGGGCCCAGGGCTCTGCATTATTAGTCTAGCTCTCCGATGAAATTCAGATTTAGATGATCTCTGACCACAAGGGGGCGCTGCTCTTCTAGGCAAAAAGCCTGGGCCTGGAACCCAGAGGTTGATGGAAAATGGAAGAATGGAAGAGGGAGCATTGGAGATGATTAAGGACAGAAAAAAAATGGAAAAAAAGAGAAAATCCGGGGAGTGGGAGAGAAGAGGCCTAGCTCTCTAAGGAGAAGTGAGTGAATATTACAGAATCCCCGAGGCCACTCTGGTGACTGGCGTCCATCTCTTAACCGTGAGTTTTGGTGTTTATGATGTAAATTTGATGACTTACCCAAACGAGCACAGAGCACTGAACAGAAAGCAAACTGTGCTGGAGCCTTGGGCTTACACGGCGCCGGTGCGGCCACGCCCCGCCTTCTCGCCACGCCCCAACGTTTCACACTCACACCTCTGGTCTTGCTTCCAGAGCCCTGACCGCAGCACCTGCTTACCTTCAGGTGCTGAGGCTGAATCAAGCTGGGGCTGTGGAGAGGGAAGCTGCTCCGGAGGAGGTACCCCAGGTTCACACTCTCTTCAGTAGCTTCCCCGGGTCTTGGCTTCTCTGCCCAGCTGTACCCCCACCCTCTGCAGCCCCCAGGCTAGTCTGCTCCAGAGCAGTGCCAGCTCACTTCCTAAGAAGGTGGCGGCCGACCGACCTCCATGAAGACCCAGCTCTGAGGGCCACAAGCCGTTTCCACCTGTGGTCCACACATCTTCCTCGCCCTCCTGATCGTGTCAAGATTCCTCTCTTTCTTAAATTGGTTTTAGGCCCAATTTTGAGCCCCTGGGGTATGGTGGGTCTGTCCCTAGGACCCTGTGGTTCTTCTTCCGCAGATGGGGTGCTCCTGTTGACCCTGTTCTGGATCCAAAGTGCGCTCCCACCCCCCATCCTTCTGACAGTCGTGTCCTCCCCCATTCTTTAAGATCCTGCTCTGCAGTGACCTTCCCTGGGACTCTTCCTTAACCATCCCCTTTCTCTCTGGCATCCCAATCACGTAGCCCTTTTGCTCAGGTGTGCCCCACCCATTTGACGACAAGTTTCAGGAGCCTAGTCTCAAGGTTAGGAATTCAGGCCACTTTGAGTCGGAAGCCCAGTGCTGACACTTAGCAGCTCTGTGACCTCAGGCAAGTTATTTCTCTGTCCCAAGTCTCGGTGTCCTCGCCTGTGAAATGGGCCAACGATCGCCCTTACTATTAAGGTTAAATGATCTAATACTTGACCCAGCACCAAAAACACTGTAGCCCTCAATACATGTTTGCTTTCCTCATTAATCATATTTATGTCCTTAATTTACTCTAATCCCTGTGGGTTTGGTACAGAGGAGATGATCAGTGATGTTTATGGAATGAGCAATTAAGATCTGTAACTTAGCACTGGATCAGTCCATCAGTACGTTTGAAGGAGTCGGCAGCTCCGTATTCTCCTTTAACTCATCAATATTTTATGGTGTTTCCTGCATCCAAGGGTTTGTTCAAGAGCAAGTCTCTCCATAAACGCAGGCAGGCTCTTTGCAGCCCCGCCCCCTGTGTGTCCACTGCCGCTGTGCGCTTGCTTCTGTGCCCGTCCTCACGTTTGCCGTCTTGCTGCCGAAGGCCCCAATCAGAGAACCGTGGCTATTGAGAACAACCCGAAACTGAGTCTGAGTTCTCTGGAGGAAAATAGCTACAGAATTCCATCAAGTCTGCTGTAAACGTTTGAATTTCACTTCCCCCTACTGTCGACTTCCACCCTGTGAGAGGAGACAAAAGAACTAAAATTCTGAAGTCCCTCTAATTGAAGCGGTCTGTGATCCCCTCTGCACACAGCGGGATGTTTCGGCTCCAACAGGTCCACCAATTTTTGCCAACAAGCGTGACTTAATGACTAGCACTGACTCCCTGATATGAATGACCTCGGAAAGAAAATAGGTGCCACCTGTCCTACCTGCCTCCTCGCTGCTGTCTTCACCACCTGGCTGGGATTCCTGGAGGCTGTTGCTTGGTTTATTTGGGTCCCTCTGAGTTCAGGAGTTCTGAGGAAAGATAGGAGGGGTGCTGTGTGCTCAGAATCAACTAGCTTTTCTTAAACATCTTAATCAAACAATCTAAGGTTAAATGTGAAGAGGAAGCATGGTAAAAGTAGGTGAAAAACCAGTGACAAATAACTCATCAGCTTTCCTTCCCCTCCAGGAAAAGCTGGCTCCGAGCCCTGTTCAGGCGGGGAGTGTGTGCAGCCTGCCCGGAGCCCTGAGGTCCCTGAGGCAGGGAGGGGCCCCCACGCCCACCCCAGCCGGTGGGCCTGGGTACAGCACTTGCTTCTCTCTTTGCCTTCCTCTCTCTCTCATCCAGTGCTGCTCACTGTGAATGCATCCTTCCTCTGGGCCATTGCTTCTCATCCCCTTTTAATCCATTCTCCTTTGGAAAAGCATTTTTTAAAGTCTTATCCATACCTTTCCTCTCCACCTGCCCACAGAGCTTGTGATAGGCATCGCCCAGACACAGACAGGCCTGTCCTACCCACTTGGTGTGGCCGCCACCAGCTCCAGCTGTCCCCTCTCACCGCTCCCCGCTGATTACTGGTGACTGATTATTGGGGATGCTGTCTTGTCTCAAATCCCGAGATTCTGCAGTAGAAGACAGTCCCAAATGCATTCAGTGACTGTTTCTTGAGCATCACCTCCACGCCATCAGGACTGTGAGAGGCCGGGGTGCAGTGGAGATGGAATAAACGCCCTGCTTTCAGGAAGCTTCAGGAAGACGCATGAACAAATCCAAAATGGTCCCTGCTACTGAAACTAGGTACGGAGGGTTGCGGGTCCCAGAGGAAGACGTGACTAGCTTTCCCAGGGAGTTCCGGGAAAGGTTTTGCAGGCAGAGAAAGGAAAGGACAACCAGGAACAAGACGTCCATGTTGAGGGGCAGGGGGTAGAGGGAGTGGCCCGTGGTGGCGGGGAGCTGGGGCACGGTGGGCAGGGCTGGGGAGGGGTCAGAGCGGATGCTGGAGAGCAGGTCACCCTCAGATGTGAGGGGCGGCAAAGGCATTTGGACTTGACCCTGTGGAAAATGGTATAATCGCCAGATAGCTCAGCAAGAAACTGAAAAATAATTTGAGTTTTAGGTCTTCCAGTGTAAAGCTGCCTGTTCAGCCAGCATCCCAGGGTCATCGAGTGGTTAGAGGTTAAACTTGAGGGGGGAGGAAGCGGGTGTGGGAGCTGCCGCGGAAAGTAGAAATATAATTATCCTAAATCACTACCTGACTGATTGGAACCCTGCATGAACCGAACCCGTTGGCTGCCGTCCTGGCGTGGAGGCAGCTCGGCTTCCCACCTGACATCACGATATTCCAGCGAGAGACAAGCAACAGGATTTCTGCAACAGTGCTTTGCAACATGCAGGCTGTCTCCCCCCGCCCCCCCCCCCCAACTGATCATTAGTACTGCAGTTTTCCACGGGCGTGCTCAGAAGTACCAGCCAGGCCACCCACCTACTCAGGTGGCCTCCTCGGAGAACACAGTCCCCTTCCATGTAACTGGAAGGCAGAAGCATCTGACAGAGGGAGGGGCTGGCCACCGCCAGTCAGATCGGCCAATCAGACCGGACCAAATCGCGTGATCGTGAATTTTGTTCTCGTAATTCAGAATAACTGTGAGGCAGGAAAGATAAAGCATGCTTTGTTGCTCTCTTGTTTTTTTGTTTTTGGTTTTTGGTCATGTTCCTTGGGGTTAATTAAACTGGCTTCTTTAACAACAGGGCTCCTCAGAACCTCACACACACTAATGAGCATTGTGAATTCAAAAGAGGTTTGTGTACGAATCTCTCAAGTTGACTCGATACCGACTCCCACTCCTATTTCCTGACCCCTACTGCCTGGAGGCCCTACAGGACCCTCATGAAACAAAGCGGTGGCCCCTGATCTGCAAAGGGTATGCTCCAAGACCCTCAGCGGCTGTGGATAGAGCCAAACCCTCTTTGTACTGCCTTTTTCTATGCACACATACACACATATGGTAAAGTTTAATTTATAAATTAGGCACAATAAGGAATTAACAGTAACTAAAAAAACAATTAAAAAATATACTGTCATAAAAGCTCCGTGAATGTGGCCTGTTTCTCTCAAAATATCTTGTGCCAAGTTCACCCTTCTTCCTGTGGTGATGTGAGATGCTGTGGAGCCTTCGTGATGAGATGGAGGTGAGTGAGACGCTAATTAAGTAAAATGCAGGTGACTTGAACACAGGCCAGGCAACTCCTCCTCAGGAGATCTGACGACCCAGATGGCTGCTAAGTGACTTAGTAGAGAGCATCTGAATGAAGGGATGAATCATGTCCCAGGTGGGACACACACACACAATTTAAAACTTATGAGTTGTTTATTCACGGAATTTTTCATGTAATATTTTGGGGCTTAGTTGACCACAGGTAATTGACACTGCAGATAACAAAACCGCGGATAAGGGGGCAA